AGGCCAGCTTGGTCTACAAAGTGAGTTCTGGGACAGACAGAGCTGTTTCACAGAGAAACCCTGTCCCAAAAAACAAAAACAGAAACAAACCAATGACCCCCCCCAAAAAAAAACCCCACTATGAACTAAATAATTCTGTTTTCATTATAAAGGACAGGTCGCAAGTTCATTACCGTGGTAGGAAACGGACTAAAGGGGCTTTCCTGCCTAGAGCACCTGTCCATTCACAGACCTGCTTACCCTGAGCCGTTATTCCTCGTTGCAGAGACCTGCACACTCTCCTCTTGCTTGCTTTACCTCGTGAGCAACCCAGACACTTCCTAGTGTGGTATCCTCCTTCCCCCTGTTGGGGACTTTGAAAACAATACCATCTTTCCATGTCAGTTGTCTCTGGACCTGTTTTCCCCGCCGTGCTGGAATATGAAGAATCTACAGCAGCCCTCCTTGTCAGTTCTGGAGATCAAAACCCAGGCCTCATACATGCTAGGCAAGTACTCTACTATGGAACTACATCTCCAGCCCCAAACTTACGTTTGCTTATTTGTTTGTTAGGGAGAGGGTCTCTCTATGTAGTTTTGGCTGGCCTGGAACTCACTATGTAGGCCAGGCTGGCCCCAAACTCTGAGAGACCCACCTGCCTCTGCCTCCTCAGGTGCCAGGACTAAAGGCATGCGATACCATGCCCAACCAATGCACCTTGGAGCTGTGCAGCTAGCCTGAATGGCCCTACTATGAGTTCTACCCAACGTGCTTCTCTGTAACCCAAGAGCCTAAAACATCTTGCTTCTTATTTATTTATTTATTTATTTATTTATTTATTTATTTATTTATTTATTTATTTGTGAGACGGGATCCCATAAAGCACAGGCTGACCTCAGGTAGCCAAAGATGACAGTGAACTTCTGGTCTCCCTGCAGCCACCTCCCCAGTGCTGGCTTTACAGGCATGTGCCACCACACCTGGTTTATGAGGTACTGGGGACCAAAACCAGGGCTTCCTGCATGCTAGGCCAGCACTCCAGCAACTGGACTACATCCCCAGCCCTTATTCATTTACTCGTTTTGAGACAGAGCCTGAGCTCTGTACTCTGGGTTCACATTGTAGCCCAGGCTGGCCTTGAACTCTGCATTCTCCTATCTCCACCAAGTCCCAGCTACGAAAGACTTCTAACGTGAAAATCAGTTGTGCCTCTCTCTCATCTAACACCCCACAGAGCCTTCTGTTGGCAACTGGAATCAATCCCACGTGTCTCAGTGTGGTTTCCCAGGTCCTGTGCATCACGGACCCTGCCCTCAGGAAGCCTCTGCTCAGGGACCAGATGGTGCTAGCCGCCTTTTGGCTCTTTGTGGTGCCAAGCTGATCCTAGCTTGGGCCTTTGTATGTGTTCTTCCTGGGACATTTTCCCCCAGCTTTTGTTCACCAGCCCCTGTCCTTCAATGTCACCTCCAGATCTCATCTCGAAGCACCCAGTGAGACCCAACCCGTCACTCAGTCGTATTTCCTTCCTGGCACGGGCCACACTCTGATTCCCCATTTGATTTCTGTCTGTTCCTCATGCAGTCAGAGAACAGACTGCGGGCTGCCTGAGAACAGAGCCCTTGCCTATGCCCCGAGCCTGGCAGAGCTTGGCAGGTGCTACTGGCCGAATGGATGAGGGGTGTCTTAGGGGTGCCTTACCTGCATTTCCAGCACAAGAGGAATGCAAGGAGCCTTTGAGTGTGGACCTGTCTCCCGCTGTGACCCTGCAGCCACTTGGGAACTGCTGGCTCACCAGAGACTTCCAAACTCTTGGCCCCGGACCAGGCCACTGCAGTGGCAGGCTGGGGAAAGGCAGACAGAGCCTGCTTCCTGGAGAAGCCGCTGTCGCATGAGGTCCTGCTGACCATCACATTTCCCCTACAAGGATGCCTTGTACTTCCCGCAGGACCCTAGGCTTGCCAGCTGCTCGGCCATAGCTGGGCTGTGTCTTCTCTTGGCCCACAGGCTACGATGCAGCTCTTGCTGGTGCAGTGATGTCTGGAGCATCTGCCAGCACTTTTATCTTTCTGTGGCGTCTGCCAGCTGAGAGCTCATCCTGCTTCCCCCTTGAAGCTCAAGGCAAGGGGTGGCAGCCCTGAGGGCAGGTGCTTCTCTTTTCTTACCCAAGGTCCCGCCCTGGCTCGCACTCAGGCCAACCGCTCCTGATCTCTCTCTCTCTCTCTCCCCGCTTTTCCCTTTGCTCCCCACTCCTAGGAAGCCTCAAATCAAGTTTGGGATTCTACCCCCTCCATCTGGCTCCAGCAAGAGCCACATTGCTCTCGTGCCCCTTCTGTCCTAACGTATTGCAGTGCTCCGCAGACGAACATCCTCCCAGTCATATTGGTCATGTGCAGAGCGAAGGGACCCCCACTCCCCAGCACCTGGGCTTGGTGTCTGTGACTCCTCAGTGTGCCCTCCCTCTATGGACAGTTGTCATGAGGGTCTTTTATTTGTCAGGTACTGGTTTCCTGGGTCAGTCGCACGGGGTGGGATAAGCGTTTTGGTCATGTGTGCGTTGTGTGTCTGTGAGCAAATGCTTCAAAGGTACACCATGTGAATCCTGAGACAGGCAGATGTCCACGTGCCACAGAAGTTAACTAAGAATGATCTGAAACGTATGTTGGGCTAGCGGGGTAGCTCGGTGGTAGATTGCTTTTGTCATAGGCTCAACGTCCTGGGTTTTATCCTCAGTAATGAAAAAGACAAAAACAGAAAACAAACCTAAACATAGAAGCCTAAAGGATTAACTTCTAGGATAGAATGCAAAGCACACATTTCCCTGGCAAGACTGTGGTGTGGCTCAGTGGTGTGGCTCTGTGGTGTGGCTCAGTGATTTGGTTCAGTGGTATGGCTTGGTGGTGTGGCTCTGTAGTGTGGCTCTGTGGTGTGGCTCTGTGGTGTGGTTCTGTGGTGTGGCTCTGTGGTGTGGCTCTGTGGTGTGGCTCAGTGATTTGGCTCTGTGGTGTGGCTCAGTGATTTGGCTCTGTGGTGTGGCTATGTGGCAGAATACTTGCTCTAGTGTACATGAGGCCCTGGATTTCATCCACAGTACCATACACAGAAAAATCTTTATGACATTGGCTTAGGCTTCTTAGATGAGGCACGAAGAGCACTGTTGCTCTCGCAGAAGACCCGGTTCAGTTTCCAGCACCCACATGGTGGCTTATAATGATCTGTAACTCCAGATTTTTGGGATCTGATGCCCTCTTCTGACATCTACCAGCACCAAGTACACATGCAGTGCACATAAATACATGCAAGCAAAACAGTCATGCATGTGAAATAAAATAAATACATATTTTTTAAAAAAGTGTAGAAAGATAAAGGAAGGCACCCGATCGATGACCTCTGACCTACACGTGTGCACACACAGACACAGATGAGGGGGAGGGCGGAGAAACTCAGCAACTTAGAACAACGTGGGAGCAACGGTCCAGCGGGGGTGTATGATGACAGGCTCATTCCTTCCCCAGCGCCGTCCTCACCACATAGGGGACACACACGTGTTTCCGATCAAGCCGGTCACAGCTAAATTGGTTTGGGGATGTTTTAAAAGATGTCTTCAAAGTAAGCAGAGATGACACTCTATGATGGCCACATAGAGGTCTGTGAAGAACCCTGCTCATCTCAACCTCTGGATATCTGTCCTCTCCCATGTACACTTTCCCTGGTCCTGGTTGTGTCTCACAGGACTAGGGAATGTGGGGAGGGCTCTAGGCTAAGACTCTTGACATCAGCTGAGTCCAGTGTGGCTGACCCCTGCCTTAGACCCTCACTTCCAGGTCTAGGCCTGGCACTTTGCCCCATGTCCCACCTCAGACTGCACTCAATGTGACCTCAATCCTTGCTGAGGATCAGCAGTCTTTTCTTCAGGCCTCCTGGTGGCCCTGGGCGTGGTGACAGTGGGCCCCAGCTTCCCTTAGCTCCCCAGCCTTCCTGGAACCTTCTTGCCCAACATCCCATGTGGTAATCATGCCTGTTGGTTCTTCTGGTCCTGACAAATTCCCCCTGCTAGTGATACTTGGAGAGCAACCATAGTGAAAGAAAGGGCTGGTTCATGTTTCTTCTCACACCAGAGTTCCCTCTCCAGGTGGCAGGCTCAGAGGTGACCATGCAGCCTTTCATGCAGTCAGTGGGGTGTCTGGGAGGAGCCTCTCAAGAAGGAACAGAGCTGTGATGCTCCAAGAGTAAAGATGGGCACCCTCATCTAGGAGGTGGCCAAGGGCATCCTGCCGTGAGTACAGCACCATCCCTGCCTTCCTCCACCCAAAGTGGCTTGAGTTCTGCGGAGATTAAGGGTCACAGAGGAAGAAACAGCTTCATCTTCAGTGTCAGGGGTCATGGGGGACACTGTAAGGTTAGAATTAAAATGGGCATGAGGTTGAGAACAGGGCACCTTGGGATGGAGCCAAAAGCTGTCTTTTAAATACTTGCTGCTCTCTACCTAAAGCATCCTTTTATTTCCTGTCTTACTTAAAGCCACACAGGCACAAGCTAACCCTCATCATCTGGCCCACACTCTCACTACCATCATTTACAGAAGAACACAGAAACAGTCCCAAGACTCTGTAAATTAGGGGGTGTCAGAGATCTGGAGCTGACTGGCGAAGGTGTAGCAAGAGCGTGCACTCCCAGCGTTTAACTCACTCCTCTGGGTACGGGAATGCCTAGTGGATCAAGCTGTTCACTCTACAGATGAGGGACCATGAGGCCTGGGGAAGGTTCCAGACCACAAGCCAGAGACACTGCTCATCCTCTGAATCTTCTCAATGACACATCCACTATCTCCACCCCTAGCATCTTCAGGGGCACACGCGCGTCTCCGCGCAGCAGGGCAGCCCTGCCACTGAGAGAATGACTCAGGTAAGAGAAAAGACCATGCCTGCAAGCATAGCAGCAGGACGCCAGGAAGCACTCGAAGGCCCCGCCTCCGCCACCGCGCCCGCGAGATAGGGGGCGTGCCCAGGCCCGAGGCCCCGCCTCCTCCGCGCGCCTCGCCCTTGGCCCCGCTGCGCGCGCTCCTGGCGCCCGAGTGAGCGCAGCGCGGGGCCGCGGTGGCCTGAGGCCTGCCCGCTGGGCCCTGTCGCTACGCAGCCTGAAAAACTGCGGCGTCCCAGGCTGAACTTGGCCTCGCGCCCGGGCGCTCTCGGAGCACCGAGGCGCGGCCCCGCGTGAAGCGCGCACCTGCCGAAGACGAAACATGGGCAGGGGGTCCCAGGTCCCCCCAACGCCCCAGCCTCCTGTCGCCTGTCCTGTTAGCCAGCCCGGGCCACTTCCCGGAGGAGCGAGATGAAGTAAGCTGCACCCCCCTGCTTGCTCTGGGCTGCGCACTTCTTTCACCCGAAGGCACGCCAGTCAGCTGGCCACGGGGGCGGCTGGGGTCCAACTGCTCGCCCGAGTCACCGACCCTCCACCCGCACGCCCCTCCTTGCGCGGAATAAAGGCATCATCTCCCCACCCCACCCCACCCCACCCCACCCCTGCAGGGCCTGGGGATGCGGTGCAGTTAGGTGGCGGGCCAGTAGGAGGCGGCCAGGCCCCTTCCCTGGCAGCCCTGGGGGCCCAGCGCGCCCTTGTCCCTAGGCTTCCCGGAACGTGCTGCAGAGAGCAAGCTGGTGATTTCCCAATGCTTAAACTTTGGCAGCTGCTATCGCATGAGCGTTCTCTAAATACCGACCCCGCAAATTCTTTTCCAGAGGCATGGAGCCTCCGAAAGTCGTCTTTCCCAGCCCTGAATGCTTAGCCGGAAGCAAAGAACTGAAAGTTCCATACAGCTGATTTAGTAGGTAGTCCACCCCTTCCTTTGTGGCCCTTAAAAGGTAACCAGTTGGAAAACCAGGACCCCTATAGTCTGCCGTGAAGCATGGCTGACCGACTCTTTTGAGTTGATGAGGCTCATCTTTACTTTGGGAACACATCACAGAAAAGCGCCTGTTTAAGAAGGGCGTAGTGGTGTACACCTTTAATCCCAGCACTTGGAGGGAGAGGAGCAGAGGCAGGAGGCAGAGGCAGGAAGATCTCTGAGCACTCTAGGCTAGTCCCACAATGAGACCCTACCTTTAAAAAAAAAATGTTGTGTTTGATTTGAGCACGGCTCATTTTAAAAGAGTTTTGGATATAACAACAACAACTTTTTTTTTTTTTTTATACAAGACAGTTTAACTGAAAACAACAGATTACTATTGGCTCTTTGGGTAGATCAGGGACCATTTAAAGAGGAAAGGAAAGATGGGCTGGTAGGGCCCACCCATTATCCCAGCATTTCTGAGCCTGCAGCAGAACATTGAGTCAGGCCGGCCTGGGCTACCTAGCCACACTCTTTTCTCCAACTAAAACAAAACCAAAAAGGAGACTTACGAAGACTGCTTTAGCATCTGTGGCGCAGTCCTCCAGACCTGCTAGAGCAGCTGTCCTGGTTTGTAAAGTCAGGAAGATCTCTTACATCATGGCCTCACGAAGTATGTTTTGTTCCCTGATCTGCTCTCTTCTGGCCAGCTATTAAAATGAGGTTGTTTGTCCCCATTTCACAGCCAGGGAAAATAATCTAGAATGAAGCCGGGGGGTTAGCGCCACACACTTACAGCCTTCCTCTTTTGACTCTTTGGTGTCATTTTTTTCCACCTAGGACATCATCCATGCTAGGCAAGCCCCAAACCTGTGAGCTACAGCCCAGTTTTTATTTCTTTTCAAATAATGTGTTATTTTTTAAAGGTTAAAAAAAATGTGAGTGTGAGTATTTTGCCTGCATGTCAGTATGCGGTGTGTGCAATGTTCACTGAGTCTAGAAGAGGGTTTGAGCGCTCCTGGAACTGGAGCTATAGATGGTTATGAGCTACCGTGTGGACGTGGGGAATCAAACCCGAGTCCTCGGCAAGAGCAGCATGTGTTCTTAACCACTGAGCCATCTCTCCAGCCCCGTTTATTTTATTTGTATGTACGTGTGTACGTGTGTGCATGCCTGTGGAGAACAGAAGAGGGAGCTGGAGCCCCTGGAGCTGGAGTTACTGTGAACTGCCATGTTGGTGCTAGGAACTGAACCTAGGTCTCTACAAGAACAGCAAATGCTATTAACTGCTGAGCAAATTCTCTAGTCCTCCCCTCCCCCACCCCCATTTGTTTTGTTTTCATTTTACTTATTTATTGTATATGTGTGGTTGGGTGTTTTATCTCCGTGCATATCTGTGTACCACATATGTGCCTGGAACCCTTGGAGGCCAGGCGAGGGCTGGAGTTACAGATGGTTGTGAGCTGCAGTGTACATGCTGGGAATGGAACTCAGGTCCTCTGCAAGAGCAGCAGGCACCCGTAACTGCTGAGTCATCTCTCCAGCCCTGCTGCGGTTTTTTGGGACAAGGTCTTGTTTTGTATCCCAGGCTGGTCTCAAGCTCTCAATCCTTCTCCCTCAGCTTCTTCAGTTAGGGGATTACAGACATAACCCGGCTGTCATACTCTTCTTCTGGCCAGATGGTAGATTTCTCAAGATCTAAGAAGGGGCCATCCCAGCCCTGCAGCTCTTCAGTCAGCATGATCAGGGGAGCCAGCTGAGCTCTTAGGAGCCGTGCCTTGCAGTTTTCCTGTAGCAAGGTGGTTAATTGTATTTGAGGCATTGAGGGAAGTGCCTTCATGATGCTCATGTTCAGGGGTAGAAGCTAGCATTTCATGAGAGCCTACGGCTTGCCAAGCACTGCGCTAAAGTGCCTTACACGGATCATCTTCGTGTGTGCTTATAATGGACTTGCTTTTCTGTTCTGTGGTTGAGGAACAAAGAAGTTAAATACCGTCTCGGGTCACCAGCTGCAGGGAGGCACAGAGTTGAATTCCAGATTGTATACTCAGTGTCTTAGCCCACAGGGCCTTTCAGGTTTTACTAGGATATCAACTCCCTGTCTTTCTAATATCAGAAGGAGGGCATACAAGTCACTATTAGGCAAGTGGACATGGGGCCTTAGCAGAGACCAGTGAGAGGCCATTAGTGTCTGGGGTAACGTGACAACCTCGAGCAGTGCCTGGCCAGCTGGTTTGTGTGAGTCGCCACTGTGAGGAAAGCCAGTGATGCTACACCAAGCTGTGGGCCACATTGTTGCTTGGGGATATCACCACACATTTTCTTTCTTCTCGCTCTCTCTTTTTTAAAAAGGTTTATATTTTTTTTATTTCTGTGTAGGAGTTTTTGTCTGCATGTATGTATGAGCACCACATGTGTGCAATGCCTGCAGAGACCAAAAGAGGTTGCTGGGTCCTCTGGGACTGCAGTTACAGGTTGTTATGAGCCGTCGTGTGGGTGCTGGGAACTGAACCTGAGTCCTCTGCAAGAATAGCAAGTGATCTGGATTGCCGAGCCGTCTTCCCAGCCTTTAGCCGCACATTTGATAGCGGCATTGGAGGTCAGTGCTACAACCATTGCTGTCACCTCTGACTTGTCTGACCTTCAGCAAGGTAGTTGACCTTTCTGTGTCTTAGTTCTCTGCTACACAAATGGTTGATGATGGTACCTACCTCACAGAATTGTGGGAGGAGTAAAAGAGGCCTAGCATTTGGCATATGGCGTATGCACCATAAATAGCTCACACTCACCAAATAGTCTTGGTATAAGCAAGAAGCAGCTGCTGGTGGGTTGCACTGTCACAGTGCCTGAAGTGGCCGTTACAACGTATTGTTTTCATGCCATCATTCAGTCCTAGGCATCTTGTACTGAGGTTACAGCGATCCTGTGCAAATGGTATTTGTTTAGCAGACATCACTGGGGCATGCTGACTGCTTGGCCCTGTTTGGGATGCCGGAGATGCTGCAGTAAGATGAACGTACCTCTCCTTGTTCAGGCTGGACTTGATTTCTCGGGAGAAAGAGTGGCAGGCAGTAAGCAAGCTCCATGTAATCATCATACAGGGTCCTCGGAAGTGTTAGAGACCTAGGGCTGGGTGTAGCTAGAGTTTTCCTGCCTGGCCCACAGTCTGGACAAATCTCTCACCCGCCAGTCCCAAGCCGCTCAAACCCGATCAAGTAAACACAGAGACTTATATTGGTTACAAACTGTATGGCCGTGGCAGGCTTCTTGCTAACTGTTCTTACAGCTTAAATTAATCCATTTCTATTAATCTATACCTTGCCACGTGGCTTGTGGCTTACCGGTACTTTACATCTTCCTTATCCTGATGGCGGCTGGCAGTGTCTCCTCCCTCAGCCTTCCACTTCCCAGCTCTATTCTCCTCCTTGTCCCGCCTATACTTCCTGCCTGGCCACGGGCCAATCAGTGATTTATTTATTGACCAATCAGCAACACATTTGACATACAGACCATCCCACAGTACTTCCCCTTTTCTTTTCTTAAAAAGGAAGGTTTTAACCTTTACACATCTCCAAAGTCAACTTGGTATATTTGGGAATTTGGGCGTAGCTTCTCTTACTACTTCCTGCTGGAGGGGGGCGCTGTATCTTATGGGGACACAAAGAATATTTTAGGATTATGGAGTAGTCCATGAGGTTGTATCGTCTGAGCCAGTTGCTTTGAAACGGTTCTGGATGTTGGATCATCTGGGCCATGGTGTCATCGGAGACCTTTCAGGGGGTCTTGGCTGGTCAAACCTGATGTGTCTTAATCTGGAACAAATCCATAGCCTCTGGCTTTCTGTGGGAACAAAAGCAGAATCTCCTTTCCAAAGCAACATATCCTTATATCCAAATTTTGAAGTCAAGGTACCTTTAAAATATACATTTTGGCATAACTCAACAGCTTTTGTAATCAAATGTTTTTCTTTAGTTACAAATATCAAAGAGAACATAATCCAGATTCTTTGTGTGGTAGCCATCTTTACGTGGCTTATTTTTTTATATTAGCTTGAGCCTATTGCTTTGAACTGCAGCCTTCTAAGCCTGAAACGGCGCTGGTGCTGTGGCTGCTGGCTCCGCCCACCTCAGCTTCCCAACATGGCGGCGGTATGCTTACCGCCAGCTCTGGGAGCCATCGTGGGTCTATGCTTTTATCCAAGCAGCGTGTAGCCCAGAAACCTCTTTTTTTGTTTTGTACTAACAAAGGCTAAATCCACAATGTAGCTTAATGTGCCACTTGCAGAGGCCTCATTCCCGCCATATGGCGGCAGGTCGAGCGCGCACACTAGGAACCCACCAGTAGCTCAAACCGGCAGCTGCCGCTCATTTGAGAGAGACAATTAGGAACTGTTTTTAGTTCCGTTTTAGAATCCTTTTTTTCAGTTTTTAGGTGGAAACTCTTGCCACCACGTTGGACGCCATTTGTAGCTAGAGTTTTCCTGCCTGGCCCACAGTCTGGACAAATCTCTCACCCGCCAGTCCCAAGCCGCTCAAACCCGATCAAGTAAACACAGAGACTTATATTGGTTACAAACTGTATGGCCGTGGCAGGCTTCTTGCTAACTGTTCTTACAGCTTAAATTAATCCATTTCTATTAATCTATACCTTGCCACGTGGCTTGTGGCTTACCGGTACTTTACATCTTCCTTATCCTGATGGCGGCTGGCAGTGTCTCCTCCCTCAGCCTTCCACTTCCCAGCTCTATTCTCCTCCTTGTCCCGCCTATACTTCCTGCCTGGCCACGGGCCAATCAGTGATTTATTTATTGACCAATCAGCAACACATTTGACATACAGACCATCCCACAGTAGCTGGGGATGTAGCTCAGTTGGTGGAGTGTTTGCCTAGCATATGTTACACATCCAGCACTGCACAAAACTAAACCTGGTGACACATGCCTGTCACCCTAGCATTCAGGAGACGGTGGGGGGGGGGGGGGCGGGGAGAGCAGAAGTTCATAGGGCAGGAGAGATGGCTCAGCAGTTAAGAGCACTGGCTGCTCTCCCAGAGGACCTGGGTTCAATTCCCAGCACCCACATGGCAGCTCACACCTGTCTATAACTCCCATTCCAGAGCACCCCAAGCCCTATTCTGGCCTCTGCAGGCCCCAGGCATGTGTGTGGCACACAAACATACAAAACACCCACACACATAAAATAATTTCAGGGAAATTCAAGGTCATCCTCAGCTATATAGCAAGTTTGAGGGCAGCCTAGGATCCATGAAGCCAGGAAGGAAGGAAGGAAGGGAGGGAGGGAGGGAGGGAGGGGGGGAGGAGGCAGGAAGGGAGGGGAAGAAAAAACTACAGAGGGAAGTAGAGCGGGGAGGAGGCATGAAGTGGAGTGGCAGTTCTAGTATTTTGTGGAGTGGTCTGAGAGAGCCCGACTGAGCAAATGGTCTTGCTGCAGTTAGTGAAGGAATGCACCACGTGGGCACCTGTGGGGGAAAGTAGGCCAGACAGAGACAAGAGCCAGTACAAAGGCTGGAGGCAGGAGGATGGGCAGAATAGTACAAGAGGTCATAGAAGTGATAGGGAGAAGCTAGACTGTGTCGCCCCTCCAGACAGACCTGTGAACAGAGAACTGGCATGATACCAACCCTGGGAGGGTCGCTCTGGCCCCTGGGCCGACTCAACTCTGCAGGAGCCAGAGGAAGCTGTAAGAGGGAGGAAGGGCCTTCTGTAGTAAAGCAGGCAGAGGTGATAGCAGAACACTGTGCTCCAAACCTCTGTAACTTTTACTGTGTTTGTGTGTGCACACGTGTGTCCACATGTGGAGATCAAAGGACAGGTACTGGAGTTGGATCTCTCCTTCCATCCTGTGAGCTGAACTCAGGTTATCAGGCCTGGTGATGGGGACCTATAGCTGCCCCCAAATATAACCTGAAGGTCGACATTAGTGTTTTCCAACAGACCAGACACCTCTAAGGTTTGTGATCTGAACGTGTGTACGTTTACGGGGGCTTGTGGGAACTGCATTTGAAGCAGGTTGAGAGGTGTGGTAGTACCTGCCTGTAATCCCTGTGCCAGGGAGGATGAGGCTGGAGGATGGCAAGTGGAGGCCAGCCTGGGCTACGTGGAGATGCTTTGTCTCAAAAACAAAGAAACACAAACCTGAAGGGAAGGAGAGAAGGGGAGAGGAGGGGAGAGGAAAGAAGGGAAGAGGAGGGGGAGGGGAGGGAAGAAGCTAGATTTTTTGGTCAGTAAACCAGTTGGATTTTGATGTGGTTAAGCCTAGTCAGCATTCAACTAATGTGACCAGAGGATCAGAGTGTGGGTTGATTGACCACTCTAGAGGTGAGGTGGGGGAGTCCAAACTGGAAATACAGCCTTGGCCACACAGATAGCAACTGGCTGGTCAACTTTGAACAGCTACTATGTAGGAGGCGTATTGACCTTTGTTCTTAATGGAATTCAGTTGGTTATTCATTCATCTAACTTTGATTTGGTAATGGCTATGCTTGACAACCCGTTGGGAAAACACCCAGAAATTTAGCAATCAAATCTTGCAAACAGGTACAAAGGGGTTTTGGGTGCCCTCACTGCTTCCAGCTGCCATCTGAGGAGGCCAGGGAAAGGGCTCTTTGAGTGTAGAGAAGAGCTTGGTCTGGAAGCCCAGGTCTCCAGATTGGCCGCAGAGGACCAAATGCAGCTCAAGGTTGATTGACACTCCTGTTTGCCTGAACTGGTGAGTCTGATATCGGACCTCAGAACTAGAGGGGACCTTTGGCTGGTAGGGATGGTTTTATAAATGTTCTTTCATTTGAATTCTTGCTTCCTTCCCAGTTCTTTTAAAAAGTCCAGATTTCTGGGCCGTGATTTGAGGAGTATCCCTTCTTCTAGCCCCACCCCCAGGAGTCAGCTTTGTCAAGGCATCTGTGAGAGCTAGGAAAGGGTCTGTGTGTGTGTGTGTGTGTGTGTGTGTGTGTGTGTGTGTGTGTGTAATGACCCCTGATTTTCCCTCTCACTGCTATGGCTAGCCAACAGCACCAACCCCATGCTTCTTTCTCTGCTGGCCTGGGCAGGGACAGCTGTAGGCTGGCTGGCCATGTCCCCCTTTCCTGTGAGAGTAAATGGAAGATGGAACTGGACTCTTCTGTTCACCATGGCCAAGTCAGTCTTTCACCTTTTGGAATGTTAGCAGGGCCTTTCTTAGTTGGGAGTTGGAGAGCCAAGAGTGTTGAAATAAGATCCTTGTGTGCACACTCAGTCCTAATTCTAAATTGAGCCTGTCAGAGCGGTGCGTTGTCACCCAAAGGAGGCCCACCTGTCTTCCTGCTTGCTGACTCCACCTCTTTTTTACTTATTTTATTTTGTGTGTTAGAGTATTTTGCCTGCATGTTCATATGAGCACCATGTGATGCTTGGTGTAGGTTTCCCTGGAACTGGAGTTAAGGATGGTTGTGAGCCACCATGTGGGTGCTGGGACTGGGCCCTCTGCAAGAGCAGCAAATGCTCTAAACTTCTGAGCCTTCTCTCCAGCCTCTATCCTCTCTCTTATTTTTCCTTGCTTTTCTTTCTTTTGATTTGGGGTTGCTATGTAGCCCAGGCTAACCCTGAACTCACAATCCTCCTGACTCCCAACGGCTGAGATTGTAGGCTTGAGTCACCATGTCCTGTTCCAGCCGTTTCTTGAACAACACAATTTGTTATATATGAAATTGTATTCTCCACACTCTCCTTAGCTTGTTTGGTTTTCTGAGACAGGCTTTCTCTGTGTATCTCTGGCTGTCCTGGAACTCACTCTGTAGACCAGGTTGTAGACTTGGCTTTATATCTCTTGGCCCTGTGACCCACAGAGGTCTCTGTCTCCCCTAGCACTTCCCTGCCTATATAGATAGGTGGTGGCGTCTCCTTGATAGTAGAGTGGGGACCTCCCTGGAAAGCATGGGACCAAGGGCCAGTAAACTACCTGGACATACTTAGTTTACTTCCCTGGCGAGGAAGCTGAGACCTTGCCAGATTAAATGCCCTCTTCAAGGTTGTGTGGTTATGGAGGATGAGGGTAAAAGTATGGCTGAGAAAGATGTTTTCCAGTGTCCATGTTGACGTCTCTGTCCTTCTCTCCAGCTTCTCGGACTGTTTAGCAATGGTTTCCTGACTGATTGCTTAATTAGACAAAGAAGAAAGCAAGGGAGAAGAAAATTCCTAAGTGGGCATTTGGTTTCCTGCCTCTTGACCAACATCCAGCATCGTGTGCGCAGCTCTGGTAGGTTATTTCATAGCCCCTTCCTCTCAGTGCGAAACCCCTCAAAGGTAGCCTCTGCAGCAGCGGGAGGTGCAGCTGCAGGGCGGAGAGCCAGGCTCAGCTCTCACTGTCCTCATCCTGGGAGACTGATATTGGTGAAATTATTAAGGCCACTCCATGTAGTTAAAAGGGAGGTTTATTTTGTGGGGTAACTTACAAATGAAGTGATAGCTTACAGGGTCTGGAAAAGGTGTGGCGCAGTCCGGCAATGTTCTCTGGAGAACTCTGCTCGGTCTACCTCCAGCATCCAGGGTCCAGGAACCAAGAGAGCTGGCACATCTGGATCTCAGGTCTTCAGGGTCCTCCCTTGGCCCCGTCTTGTAGGTGTGACAGTTACCGAAGCCTCAATGGGGGTTGGAACTTCCAGATCAAAGCTGGAATAGCTACCCACTACAGGCTAAGCTGACTGTGAGATTGGTAACAGACTTTGCTCACCAGAGTGCTTGGTGGGGTTGGCTCTGTAGCCCAGAGGAATGGTCAGTATCTCAGCAATGGTGTTATGCCACTCTGGGGTGGGACATCACTTTATATTTAAATTTCTTCCCCTCCCCCCTCCAGACAGGGCCTCCAACTACTTATATTTGAAGCTGACTCTGAATTTCTGACCTCCCTAATTTCACCTCCCAAGTGCTGGGTTATAGGGGCACATCGCCATACCTGGCCTATTTGAGTCGTCTAATTAGTTAATATTTGTCTAGTATTCATTAAAAAAACTTTTTATTACTCTTATTTAGTGTGTGTTACATGCATGCATACCCATTTACTTGCCATGGCATGCATGTGGGGCTCAGGGAACAAATTCAATGGAATCAAATTTCCTTCTACCATGCGGTTCCAGGGACTGCAATTGGGTCACCATGCTGCTCAGTAGTAAGAAGTGCCTTTACCCACTGAGTCATCTCATCCATCTGGGGGTGGGGAGTGAGAGAGAGGGAGAAAGAGAGGGTGGGAGGAAGGGGGGGAGAAAGAGAGAGAGAGTGTTATTGTTTGTTTTTTGGTTTGGAGACAGTCTTACTATGTAGCCGAGGCTGGGCTTGAACTTTTAGTAATTTTGCCTTAGCGTTCTGACTGCTGGGATGACAGGCATGTGACCTCATACATGGTTGTGCATGTTTTTGTTTTGCTTTGGTTTGGGTCACAAACCTCATCTCTACTCATCTTTACAACGCTTCCCTCTTTCAGGTCAGCAGAATCTGTCAGGATTTTTTTTTTAATGTACTAGAGACTGGACCCAGGCCTCACCCCCGATAGACAAATGCTCTACCACTGACTGGGATCTTCAGCCCTTTTCTCATTCTTAATTTTGAGACAGGGTCTAAGTTATCCAGACTGACCTCAGACTCCATTTGTAGCCCAAGCTGGCTTGAACTTTTGACTCTCCTGCTTCAACCTCCCAAGTGCTAAGATCATAGGCATGAGCCACCGTGCCTGGTTTCTGGCATGTTTTATAGATGAAGAAGTCAGGACCCAAATGGATTAACTATTTTCCAAAGGTCCTGTAGCTAGAAGGAGGGTTAAGCCCAGTGCTTCGGACCCCCTCGCCCACACCCCCTCCCCGGGTCATGATTGACTAAGAAAGAGGGTTTAGCATGGTGACTGGAGCTTTATGGCTTCATAACTCATTCCTCCTCCTAGTCTCCTCAACTGTGTGGGAATATTATTTTTAGGTGTGTTACTTTTGTTTATGTTGCGTTTATTTAACTCTGTGAAGCTGTGTTACTGGGCCTGTCTAATGCACCTGATGGTCTAATAAAGAGCTGAACAATCAATAGCGAGGCAGGAGAAAGGACAGGCAGGGCAGGCAGGCAGAGAGAAAAAAATAGAAGGAGAAATCTGGGAAGAGAGATTGAGAAGGAGGAAGACATTAGGGGCCTGCCACCCCGATACACAGCAAGCCACAGAGTAAGAGTAAGATTTACAGAAGTAAGAGACTGGGAAAAGCCCAGAGGCAAAAGGCAGATGGGATAAGTTAAGGAAAGCTGGCGAGAAACAAGCCGAGCTAAGGCTTATTAAGAATAAGCCTCTGTGTGTGATTTGTTTGGGAGCTGGGTGGCGGGCCCCCTAGAAAAGAGCAAAAACAAACAACAACCTACAACACAGCTGTCTTATGAGAATCAGAACCAGTGGGGCCAGGCAGCACCGCTAAGTCAGCTCATTCATGTTGGCTACCACAGTCAGCACAGGGCTTACTTGGAGCCATTTATGACCAGGAGAAGGGAACTAAAGTGTCGGAGGGAAGCTCCAGCAGCATTGTTCTGACCTGGTGATGGAAGCAGGAGGCCAGGCCGGCATGTGCATGTTTTATTTTTTCTCTTGGTGTGTATGGGTGTTTTGCATGCACTATATGCATGCCTGGTATCTACAGAGGCCAGAAGAGGGCATTGGATCCCCTGGGATTGGAGTTACAAACAGTTGTGAGCTGCCATGTGGGTATTGGGAATCTAACTTTGGGAGCAACTAGTGCTTTTAGCCACTGAGTTGACTCTCCAGCCCCAGGCATGCATGTTTTGATGCTGATGCCTTCTGTGCTCAGTGCTCTGGAACCTGGCAGCTGGAAGTATGCTCCTTGGGCCCAGCTGTCAGCTTTGGCCTCTCCTTTATCTTCTCCATCAGAATCTGCATTTTAAACAGTTCCCCAGGGAACTCAAGCTCACAGTACAGCTTGAGCGATGCTGTTAAGGTTAAAAAACAGGATCATAATGAAAAACAAGTAACACATTCTCCCCTCCCTGCATCAACACCTGAGACAGATGGGAGAGCTGGCCCTGAGATCCTGAGAGCAGGAGACCTGTCCCTGCCCCCAAGCAGCTGCAACACTCAGGAGAGCAGGCCCTGCACCTCGCTTGGGCAGCACAGTAGAGCTGACCCTGTTGGTGGACGTGTGAGTGAGTCAGCCCCAGAGTTGTGAGCATGGGAGAGCTGTCCCCATTATTCATCTGTCATGTGGCAGCATGGGCAGAGGAGAGATGCCCTCCACTCCCCCCTCCCATCAGTGCCTGAGGCAGGTGGAAGAAGTCATAAGAGTGGGAGAGCTGTCCCTGCCCCTCACCAGCTGCAGCACTCAGGAGAGTGGCCCCTGTGCCATGGCTGGGCAGCACAGTAGAGCTGGCCCAGGAGGTGTGGATGTGGGAGAACCAACCCTGAGGATGTGAAAGTGGGAGAACCGGCCCCGCCCCTTGCTTGTCACTGCAAAGGGTGAACTAGCCAGGCAGTGCTGGAGAGCTCACCCTAGTGGTGAAGACAGGGGAGAGCTGGCAGGCTGACCAACCCTGCAACTACCCAGGCCCAGAACTTCCTTCTCCAGGCTGTTCTCTGTGTTGACCCACCCCAGCATCCACCCTATCTGTGATCTGCTGGAGCAGGAGGGTGAGGGGTGGGGGTGGGGTTGATCCCGTGGACCCAAGGCTGCAGGATCTCTATGACACAGGGCAGCAACAGGGTGTCCAGGGTCTGGCATTGATGGTGTAGCAGAGACCAGGGGCCTTGAACCAGACCAATGATTCTTTGTGATAAATGCCTGCATGTAAAAATGTATGGATAAAGGGGTTTACTGATAAAGAAAAAATATTTCTCAAAATTTTATTTTGTTTTATTCTGGAGGTGGGGGTGGGAGGGAGATGGGTGGGATTGGGAGGCATGATGTGAAAGACACAAAGAATAAACAAAAAGAAAGTTAGAACAATGTGTGCCACCCACGCTGACTTCAGAAAGAGTAGTTACGGTAGGTGTTTAGTAATCACACTGTAAACAGTTCTGTTGAAATTCCCAATGCTGCTTGCTTCAAGAGTTCTGGGAATGCAAGAGAGAAGACTGGTTGACTTGGGCACTAGGTCCAGAACACACATGTTGTCCAAGGAAAATGGTGTGGTAGAGGACCAGAAGGCAGTGTGGGTCAGGTGCCATCCAACCTTGTCCTTAGAGAGGTGGCCTTGGGATCCCCCACCTGACAGCCCCTTGAGACTCCCAGCTTCTTTCTGTACCAGCACATCCCGAGCCCTGGCTCCCAGGGCCGGGTCAGGAGTTTGGGATGCAGCTTGCCAGCTGGCTCCTCCTCCTTCTCCAGGCTGTTCTCTGGGCTTCGGATTTCTCCTGCCCTGACCTTGCAGCTTTTCCTCCCCTGGGGCAGAGCTGGTGCCAGCGAGAAAGAAAGGCTCAGGTGCCAAGGACGGGAATTGGGAAGCAGAGGAAAACGGAATGCCCTGGAGTCTGTCTGTGTATTTGGGAACAGAGATGCAGGGTGGGCAGGAGAGGACGACGGGCCTCTCACGTGCTTTGAATGGACGGAGGTGTCTGTGCCCTGTGGACGCTGGCACAGACACTGTGTTTGGGTCCTTGTCCTACTTGGGTGTCACCAGAGCCATCTTGGTGGCGGGTCCCCGGAGAGATGAAGAAGGAAGGCTAGGACCAGGTCAAATCGGGTGCATGGCTCACACCTGCAATCCCAGTACTTCAGAGGCTGAGGCAGGAGGATTGCCGTGAGTGTGAGACCAGCCCGCGCTACTGAGTAAGACCCTGTTTCATACAATAACAGTAACAGCAACAGTCAAACAAACAGGCAAATGTAATCCCAACAGAACAGTGCTGGTAGGCTGGTCAACTCCGTGGGGCCTCTGGTACGCTCCATGATCTCTAATCCCCTTTCCCATCTGTGTGGTCATATTTATTCTGTTCATGCTGTCTGGTTTATGAACGGTGTCCTGCCAGTTTCTGTAGTTCCCTCTTCACCTTTCCACCTCCACACTGCCCCTATTTTCACCTTTACTTCCCTTAGCTGTGGTTCCTGCCCTCTCCATTCCTTCGGCCCTTTCCCAAAGCCGGGCTTCATGGAGAGCTGGAGGACTATGGTGATAGAAACACAACCCTGGGCTAGAACAGAGAACCAGCCCAGTAAATACCCAGGTCCCTGTGACTTGACTCAGGCCTCTTGCCTCTCAGATGTACCAGCTGCCACACGTCGGGCTGACAAAGCTAGACAGGCAGGCATGTTTGCCTGTGGAAGGCCAAGCGATTGCCAGGACCCAGCTGCCACTCTGTCACTGTGGAAGCTTCATTCCAAGGCACCTCAGCCTTCCCATGTGCAAGGGGACTGTAGTCAAACTGTCCTGTGTGGGTCGTCAGGGCTCTGGTCTGGATCCAGTGAGATCAGACTGAGAACGTTTGGTTTTGTGATCGGCACCTGTGAATATCATTTTATACCGTCAGCTTTCCTGAAAACAGTGACTGAGAGGCAGCCTAAGCATCGTATGAATGTGAAGCCATTTTGTTCTTGCAACAAGCCTGTGATGGAGGCACCACTATAGCACCCATTTCAGAGGAAACGGGGTGTCGCCAGGCTAGTCGTCGGGCTAAGGAGCAGAGCTGGGTCGATACTCAGGCACTAGGCTGCACAAGCCTCTTTAATTGTTGTTGTGATGGTTTTTGGTTTTATTTTTGTGTTGGGTTTGTTTGTTTATTTGTTTTTCAGACAGAGTTTCTCAGTGTGGTCCTGGCTGTCCTGGAACGCACTCTGTAGACTAGGCTGGTGTTGAACTCAGAGATCCACCTGCCTCTGCCTCCCAAGTGCTGGGATTAAAGGCGTGTGCCACCAAGTACTTTCTTTTTTTTTCCTTCCTGTGTTGGGAACGGGACCCAGTGTCCTCGTTATACTGAACAGTTTACTACAGAGCCACATACACTCCACCCCCAAGTCTGTGCTTTCTCCATCACATTTATATGTGCATGTGCACATGTGCATGCATGTATACATGGAGGAGCTCAGAGGACAGCTTGCAGGAGCTGATTCTCTCCTCCCACCATGTGGGTCCCAGGGATTATACTCAGGTTGTCAGGTGGGGGCAGGTGTATTTTCACACCGAACCACGTTGCTGGCCCCCACACCCTCTATTAGTTGTGATTTTGTGTGTGGAGTCCAGTAGACATGGGAAAAGGCTGAGGATGGGTGAGAGAAGGTGGCCACTGGCTGAAGGGCACCTGCTGCTGTTCCTGGGTTAGGCTTCCCCTGCTGTCCAGCTAGCCTGTGCTCATGGCTGAGGCTAGCTGTGGCCGTGAAGTGGCCCACTGCTCTCTCAGCACTGTGGGCCTCCCTGGTGATTTGTGCCGCTCTTTGGTGCTAGCAGTAGAATGCCCTGGATCCATCGAATGGCCTAGGACTCTCCCGGGCCCAATTCCTGCTTACAAAGCAAGCTCCCTACACACCGACTTCCTGGCATGGAAGCCAGTCTGCTCAAGGGAGGGGAATGCTGAGTGACTATAACATTTCCCCAAGAAACATGTGGCTGTGTCTTGCCAGGCAGGAAATGTCTGATGCTCTAGCTGTGTTTCTTCTCCTGAGCCATGTCTGATACTTCCTCCTTCCTTGTCTCTTCTTCCCAGGCACCCAGACGGTTGAAAGATGCTCATAGCGGCAATGTGCTTAGCCCTTCTGGGCTGCCTGCAGGCCCAGGAATTCAAGGGACATGTTTCTATAATCCTGCTGGGAGCAACCGGGGACCTAGCTAAGAAGTACCTGTGGCAGGGACTGTTTCAGCTCTACCTGGATGAGGCTGGGAAGGGCCACAGTTTCAGCTTCCATGGGGCTGCCCTGACAGCCCCCGAGCAGGGCCAGAAGCTCATGGACAAGGCCTTGGAATCCCTCTCCTGCCCCAAGGACTTGGCACCCAGTCACTGTGTTGAACTCAAGGGTCAGTTTCTACAGCTGAGCCAATACCGCCAACTGAAGACAGCCGAGGACTATCAGACCCTGAACAAGGACATTGAGACCCAGGTCCGGCAGGATGGGCTCTGGGAAGCTGGCAGGATCTTCTACTTCTCTGTGCCACCCTTTGCCTATGCAGACATTGCCCGCAACATCAACAGCAGCTGCCGACCACGGCCAGGTGCCTGGCTGCGGGTTGTTCTTGAAAAACCCTTTGGCCATGACCACCTCTCAGCCCAGCAGCTGGCTTTAGAACTTGGAAGCTTTTTCCAGGAAGAGGAGATGTATCGGGTAGACCATTACCTGGGCAAGCAGGTGAGCTGCCGCTTAGAGTCCGGCATGGCTGTGCTGTGTGGGGTACCATGGATCTATCATCAAGGACTTAGTACCAAATGTAGAATTGGGCTAGAGAGTGTTGGGAACCCTCAGGATCTGTGTTCTTCCTGAAGGCAGACAGGAGATGTGGAAGCAGGAGAGACCAGTGAATAGCAGGAAGGACCATTTTCTGTCTCCTTGTCTTGGCTTTCCAGAGAGGGTGTACATCCTGATCTCCCCATGTTGACCTGCCTTCTCCACAGAAGTGGTCCAGGGACTCTGATATCTGAATCTGTTTTTCATTTGGAAATGCTGTGGGAATTAGAATTAGCTTTTTAAATCCCTCACCCATCTGCCTTTTAAAAATAAAAATCTTGGTCATCTTGAATTCTGTCTTGAGGCAAAAGGATGATAACAACTTAGAACTGAGTGAGGGAGTGGACTCTTGAATCCAAGTGGTTCAGTGAAGCCTAGAAACAGGAGCTGGGAGCAATCTGGAAGTTACAGGTCAGCGGCCAGTTCACTCTGCACAGGCCTCAGAACTCTGGGCTCATCAAGCGCTAGCATTCCAAGTACAGAGTGCACTGTGCCCTCTGGTACCCAGACTGCTGAGGTGGGCCACATACTGGGCAGGGAACCAGCTCACAGGCAGGTGCCTCGCTTCCCATCTGACCCTCTGTGTCTGTCATGGTAATAGTCTCAAACTGTGCTCCCCAGACCAGGGCCAGTCTTGATAAGGAATCAGTGCCCTAGAAATGAAAAGGAATATTATTAAATGTATACAGTTTAAAGTTTTTCATGTTACAATTTTGTCATTAAACTATTTTTATTAAAGTTGATAGTCTTAAAAGATAGGGTTCATTTTTTTCCCCTTTACTGTCCTTTTTTTTCTCTTTGTACTGCAGATTGAACCTGGGGTCTCAGGCATGCGAGGCCAGCATTCTACCACTGGCCACAGGAAGACAGTCAATTTTAAACATGTTCTTTCGTGGCTGGAAACTGTTTAAGCCATTTAGTTTTAAGTGTCTCCATTGAGCTGTGAGACCTGAGGTCTAGGACCTGGTGCCCACAGATGGTTTCTCCCTTAAGCGAAGAGGTCTGGAGCTCGGGAGCCAGGCCTCTTCCTTCACCCAGGAACCTGGGATGACCAGTCTTCCTCCCCGACAGGCCGTGGCTCAGATCCTGCCCTTCCGAGATCAGAACCGTAAGGCCTTGGATGGCCTCTGGAACAGGCACCACGTGGAGCGCGTGGAGATCATCATGAAGGAGACCGTGGACGCAAAAGGTACGTGGGTCTGGTGCCCCGTGGGTCTGGTGCCCCGTGGGTCTGGTGCCCCGTGGGTCTGGCGCCCCGCGGCTCCTCAGCCTTGCCTGCCTGGGCTTTGGTGGCGCTCCAGGCTGCAGTCTGCAAAGCCAGGCCTTTGCACCGTGGCCAGCTCAGCTCGGAGGGCGGAGTCCTGTTGGTGTGTAAGCTCCTGCTGTGTGCTGCACTCTTTACTGAGCTGACCTGCAGGGTCACAGACAGTTGTGTGTCTCCATGTGGGTGCTGAGAATTGAATGCAGATCCTCTGCGAGCGCATAAGTGTTTTTAACCACTAAGCCCAGTGATTAAAATCTCTCCAGCCCTGTTACTAAAATTTACAACATTGGTTCTTACATCATCATCCTCTAATAACTGTATAACAATAATAATTTAAAAAGCTAACTATCTCCCCAGAAGCATATGAGGTAGGGACAATTACTGGCCTTCTCTACAGGAAGTGCTATGGCACTCTGTCCAGGGGCCTTGGTCTGTTTCTAGGCCAGCACTGTGGCCCTGGCTCTCACACCTGGCACCACTACACAGTGCCACCACCCCACACAGCTGTATACCTACCTTCTGCAGCTGCAGGAACTCCCTGGGGCCACCCCCCTCATACCCCAAAATGTGACCTGACTAGAGGAGAGAGCTCTAAGCTCCTGGACCAAAGAGCAGCTAGAGGTCTGTCCTTCCTCTCTTCCGTTTGTCCTTTTTGCTCTGTCTTTCTCTTCCTCTCGGTAACTCTGGCTTCTCTCCTCTCTCTTGGTGTGTGTAGTTAGTGCTGGAAGCTCTGGGCTGGGTGGTAGGTTCTCAGACGAGATCCAGCCTCTGGGAGCCTGGGGTGGGGGTGAGAAACTCCAGTATGGAGGCCACAGGCAGACTGTGGTAGGCAGGTGAGGAATGAGGGGCAGGAGGCTAGACAGAGCTTCCCAGCCAGGCCTAGACAGGCATCTCTCCATCAGGAGGCACTGGGTCTCCCTCCTCCAGGATCACAGCAGAGAACATTACAGCCCCCTGTGGTGGCTTCACCTGGGTCTCAGGACGTCTCCAGAGCCCTTTCAGGTGTCTGATGTCCAAGCAGGAGTGTGTGCTGCACCTGTCCTTGCTTCGTCTGCAGAGCTGAGCTGCAGCTCTGGTACTGAGAACATGGGTCCAGTGAGAGGTGCAGTGGCCACTCTGGAGCCAACCAGCAGTTTCTGCTGTCTGGACTTGGTCTGTTCCTGCCGCAGCTGCGAGGCAGGGTCTCGCTCCCTCTGCCTGGCGTCTTCCCTGTGCTCACCACGGGGCATGGAAGAGTCCCGTGTGTAGAGCTGGCTATGGTCCTCTCACCTCTACATTCTGCCCCTCTCCTGCCCATGTCCTCCATGTACTGCACACCCACTATGGACTCTTTGCAGGGTCTCTGTGGAGACAGGGGCCAGGCAGGCTATGGCAAAGGTGCCTTTGAAACTTAGAAAATGGAAGCCAAGGAACAGGCAGAAAGGCAGGTGGATGCCTGGGCGGGTGGATGCCTGGGCAGGTGGACTTGCTGAGTTGAGCCTGTAACAGTGAGAGTGTGGGTCTGAGCAGCAGCTGGTACCCGGGTGGCTGTGCCCAGGGAACGGTCATGGGCTCTGGCTACAAGACTGCTGTATATAGCAGGTGGACTTAACTGTGCCTGAGCCTCCAGCACAATACTCTCCCACTCAGTGGGAGGCCAAGCGGCCAGGCTCCCCCTTGTTCCGAGGGCTGTTGTGTGGGACTGGCCAGCTAGCCGGATGTGCTTCCTTTTAACAAGTGCTTTGTTTCGTTTTGTTTCATTTAAGACAGTGTCTCTCAAGGTAGCCTAGGCTGGCCTCCATCTTACAATATAGCTCAGGCTGGCCTTGAACTCATAGAAATCCTCCTGCCTCAGGCTCCCAAGTGCTGGGATTACAGACACATGCTACCACTTCCCTCTTCTAGAATCTGTTTTTGTTGCACTGGCCAGCGGGACTGCTGCTCTGCTGGGTCTTTCTGGTCTAGGTACAGCAATAATGGGAAACTCTGCTACCAAGTCCCAAGCCCAGGAGGAGGGCTCTGTCATGGGCCACTTTGGCAATAGAATGACACACGTGAGTGCTGGGAGGACAAGTCTTACAAGGTCCTAAGGAGGCATCTACAGAAGCTCTGGTGACCCAGGCATGGTCCCCCTCTCCTACCTTCCGGACAGGAACTGTAGATCTGCCCAAGTGCCAAATTCTGGGTGACAGTGGTGGGCTCAGAAGAGTGACACTCCTCATGGCCTCAGTGTGGGCTGAATGTTTCCGAGGCTTCATTCTGAGCCCTTCGGTTTGAATTTTAAGCAAAAAGAGCAAGGTCACAAGGCATTCCCAGTCCACTGCCCTCCCCTCCCCTCCCCTCCCCCTGCCATACCACTCATGTGTTACTTACTCCTTCCTAGGAGTAGATGCTGGGGGAGTCTAAACTGTACCCTGCATTCTGGTAGGGGAGGGGCTCCTATCCTGGCCTGTTGTTCCCCTGCCCCTCCCCTGCTTTGCAGCAGCCATGGGAAAGGGACTTTTGAACTGCAAGGTCACTTGGCTCTTTCTCCCACCCCCATCCACCTGGGCGGCAGCAGTTCCACAGCTCCCTCCCTCTCTCCCTCCCTCCCTCCCTCCATGGCTTCTGCTGCAGCCTCTGGCTCAGTGGAGCTTGCTGCAGAGGTTGCTGCCCAGGCTGGGGCACCCTGGAGGAGGAAGCAAGAACCATCCATCAAGCCAGTAGTAACCCCGCAGTGTCTGACCTGGGTTCAACCCACAGGAGGCCCTGCCCCAAGTCACATACGCCCTAGGGCCCTCGTGGGGTCTCCTGATGCAGCAGCATGGGCTATGGGTGTGACCTTGGTTAGGTCACCTGCTGCAATATAGCAGTGACTCCAAATGGCTGTGCAGAGGAATCAGATCTTTAATGACAGAGGTTCAGTAGTCTGTGTTCTGGGATCTGAACCCAGCCTCTGGATCATCAGAACCCAAACTTTTAACCGTTGTGTTCCTCATCCTCTCAGTGCCCAGGCCTCAGGAGTTGGCTTTCCTCACTACCTTGTACTCAGAGGCACGCTCTACTAACCCAGTTTCTCTCTGCACAGAAGCCTTTGGAATGGTGGGGGGGGGGGGGGACGACGACACACTTCCCGAGGCTGTCCGTGCTGGGCAGTGTCTCTGTCCAGGCCCCAGGGAAAGGAGTGTGGTATATGAGTTAGAGTGACTGCCCTGTGCCTCTCACCAGGGGACCGAAACAGCCAGGGTCCTGGCGGGCAGCACCAGCTGTCCTGCTCCTTCCACCCTGTGACATACATGTGGGGTGGCCCTGGGCACTTGCTCAGCAGAGCAGTGTCCCCTCCCACCCATCTGCCCTGCTGTCTGCAGGCTGAGCTGGGGTAGCTGCAGCCTCCTGCCCAGAGGGAGGGCCCTGGAGAAGGGGAGGAGCAGCCAGGCATCAGACAGTTTCTGCTCTGCCCTCACCGGCCTTATTTTTAGCGATCCCTGAAGACATTGGGAGGGACTACAGCTGGCTTTTAGTAGTTTTTCCTTTGTTTCATTAAAATAATCTATTTTTGCTGGGAAACCCAGCTCTCGCACAGCACCGAAGCTATGGAAGGGGGTTACTGGTTCATTTCTGGGGACGTGACCTTCAGCTCAACGTTTGTAGTGCTGAAAGCCACGGTAGTGTTCTCTGGGTGATTTTCGGCATTAAACTAGGTAATGTCCATAGATGTACTTAACAAATAGAGATGCTCTCCAAGTTTGCCAGGAGAGGAACAGTCTTAAGATGCCTATTCCAGCCAACATTAGCTTAGTACGTAACAACCTGTAATTGGTCTGTAATACTTGTCCTTTCTTACTTAGCCCCCACCTCCATTTCCATATATTGACAATTTGCATAATATATTTTTAACAGTTCTATATTTTTGTTCCGTTCTATTTATATCACAGAATATGCAGTATAAATTCTACAAGTAGGCATTTTGGCTGTTTCCAGTTTTTGCTATTTTAAATAGTACTTTCTGAAATTGTTTTCTGAGATCAAATTCACATTCTGTAAAATTCACAACTTCAAGCTTGTCACTCAGTGTGTTGTAGTACTTTGCAGTATTGTGCAGTCAGTCTCTACCTCCAGAACGTTTGTGATCATTAACTGTTTCCCTCCAGTGTATTTCTACAGCGGGGTCCCTGGGTCAGAGATGGGAGGCAGTTTCGAGCTGTCCTCCATTCCTTAGACCGACAGGATGCCAGGGCAAAGCCGCCATCCGCCCTGGACTCGCAGTCAGGAGCTGAGTTCACAGGGGCTTTCTTTGAGTTGGCCAGACTGCTTGCACTTTCGCTTTCCAATACTATAGATTTTAGCTGGCAACCTTTAACCTGGGAAAGGGTGCGCAAAGCCAGTACAGACCCCTTCAGGGAACAGATTGGGTTCCTGACAACTGGCAGTTCCCGGACTAGTCAGCACATTGAGTCCCACGGGAGCGCCAGCGCCTGGCTTCCCACCTGCCGCTCAGCGCCTGAGCCCCTGCACAGTCTCTTTCTCCTTCACATGTGGCCCAGGCCACAGCCCTGGTCCTTCACAGCTGACCAGGTGGAGAGCAGAGACCAGAAATCCACGGGTTGTGCTAAACACAGGCACACCCCCGAGCCTGAAGTGAAGAAATAAAGACAGCTCTCTTCCACTCAGCAGGTAGTAAACCCCAGGCATCCAATCTCCCCAGAATCAAGAAGCCGGTGGATAAAAATAGGAAAGGGGCCACTTGGGGATTTAGGAAATTAATGAATAGTAAGCACATAGTGGGCTTTTAAGGACTCTGGTGCTCTCTCTCCATCAAAAATTCATCTGTTCTTAAAGCCGTAACTGTCCTCTCTTTGCTTAAATCTGCTCTAATTCATTGATTTTTATCGGGTATGGGTTTTCATGTTTGAGTATCCCTGAAGCTGGATTTGCCATTGAGGGTGCCAGGCTGAGCCAGCACCCAGCTTCTTCCTGTGGCTATAATTAGCCAGGTTCGAATCTCAGGCTCGGTGAAGTTCATTGTTGCCTCACCTTGTACCTCCAGTGACCTTTCAGGGATGACCACCAGATGTCACGTCTGCGCTCGTCAGAATCAGCAGGTTTTAAATGGTGTCCTTGCACCTTTCTCATAAAATGCCAACTACCTTTTTAAAAAAAGTATTTGTTTCTATTTCTTGTGTATAAGCATCTTGCTTGAATATATGCCTGTGCGTCACACCAGTGCCTGCTGCCTGTGGGTGTCAGAAGAGGGTGTAAGATTCCCTGAAACTGGAATTAGGGATGGTGTGAGCCACCATGTGGGTGCTGGGAACTGAATCCTGGTCCTCTGTAAGAACAACAAATGCTGAGCCATCTCCAGCTCCCTACCATTTTTAAAAATATATATCTTTTTAAAGGACTCTATTTTTATTTTTATTTTTATTTTTTTAATTTTTTTGAGACAGGGTCTCACTATGTAGCACTGGCTGTCCTGGAACTCACTATGTAGACCAGGCTGGCCTCAAGATCACAGAAGTTTGCCTTCCAAGTGCTGGAATTAAAGGTGTGGGCCACCACTGCTTGTCTCTATTTTTGCTTTTAATTGTGTGTGTGTGTGTGTGTGTGTGTGTGTGTGTGTGTGTGTGTGTGTGTGTGTGTGTGTGTGTGCAGTACCTGTGGAGCCCAGAAGAGGGCATCAAATCCCCTGGAGCTGGAGTTCAGGTAGTTGAGGGTGTTGGGAACCGAACTCAGTTCTTCTGGAAAAGTGGCAAGTACTCTTAACCACTGACCCATCTCTCTAGCCCCCAACTGCCTTTTACATTTTATTATTTCCATGTCACCATGTGTCTCCAGCAGGGCAGGCTCTGAAGACTCAGGGTGCCTGCTCAGAACATGCTCAGCTTCCTAAGTCTAAGCCAGGCTTGCCTCCCTTTTATCTGTTTGGATTAAATATTAACTAGATTCCAGGAAAAATAATGCTTAGAAAACACATGCAAGGTGAATATAACTATGTAATAAGAAATGCAAACAGGTTTTAATTCAAATTTTTTATCCCCCCCAATGAGCCCAGAGCCTCGAGCATAATAAACATTCTGCCACTGTGCCACACTTCAAAAACCCTTTAGTGCACTTATTTACTTATTATTGATGTGCATGTATGGGCGTGTGCACGCCATGGCACACCGTGGAGGTCGGATGATAACCGGTGGGAGCCGGTTCCTCTTTCCATCTGTGGGACCTGCGGGTTCCGGTCGTCAGCCTTGTTTGCAGACACCTCTGCCCATGGTCATCCTCGCCCCCTCTGCAGTTATTAAAGCACCTGAAGAGCTCTGTGTGTGTCTCCTTGGACTCTGTCCTGTTTCCTACCCTCTGGTCTCAATTTTGAGCATGCTTACTTCAGTGTGTATGTTTGTGCACTTTTGTATGTACGTGTGTGTACATATGTACACATATGTGTGCTTGTGGGGAGCCAAGTGTCTTCCTCAATCAGTCTCCACATTGTTTATTTTGACTTAGGGTCTCTCTGTGACCAGCCAGCTGTTACTGGGGCTCCCCTGTCTCCACCTCCTCAGGGCTGGGGTTGCAGATGTGCACCACCACACCCAGCTTCTTATTCGGGTGACAGGACTCTGACCTGAGAGCTTCATGTGCACAGGACGGGAATGTGGCTGACTGGGTCGTGTCAGCCACGCCTGGTTCTCTTTACTGCTGTCATGTATGTCTGTGTTAAACTTTAGTGAGGAGCCACACACTGTACAGCAGCTTTTGGTTTGCCTGTTTCTTTTTTTGTGGTGCTGCAGTTGGAGCCCAGGGCCACATGTGGGCTAGGTGAGGCTCTGCTGCCGAGCTCCTCCAGCCGTCCTTTCACCTCGTCAGCCGGCCTCCCTCTGCGAGCTCAGGGGTCTTCTCTACTCCGACTCCCCCGGCGCCTTCTGATCTGTAACCACCCCTACTGAATTGTCAACTTCAGTGATGGTTACTAATTGAAATCCTGTTCATGCGGGCCAGTTTCTGGCCTATTTGTTTATTTATTATGACTTTACTTTTCTTTGTGTGTGTGCATGTGTTTGCACTCACATCTTTGTTAGCACATGTGTGTGCTGGTACCCTCAGAGGCTAGAAGAGGGTGTCAGATCCCCTGGAGCTGGAGTCACAGGCAGTTGTGAGCTGACTGATGTAGCCTTCAGGAACTGAACTCTGGTCCTCTGTAAGAGCAGGAAGTACTCTTAACTACTGACCTATCTTTTCAGCCCCTGTACCCTCCTCGAATAAGTTCCTACTTGATCCAAGCAGTTCTGTCTCCTTGTGATGTCCTGTGTCAGGATGTGTGTGCCAGGATGTGTGTGCCAGGACGTGTGTGCCAGGATGTGTGTGCATTCGTTCCTTCTGCTGCCTACTGTGTGAAAGTGGCAGTACCTTAAGCAGCAAGTCCGCACCGTGGGCCTCATATGCAGACGTGAATGGCCAGCATCGAGTGGGCTGGAGAAGGCAGGCCTGCAGTATTGGAGGCCCACGCCCCTCGGTGCTCAGAATACATAGGAATCAGTTAGCTGCACAGCAGTGTGTGCAGCAAAGCATTTGGTAAGCGGTTGCGCTCTGTGCCAGGCTTTCAGGTTTGCTCTGTGAGTGAGGTGGTGAGGGACTGGGTGTTGGCAAGCTGGGACACCCAAGGCTGTGATGAGGGTAGCGGTAGATCTGAACCCTGTGCTTCGATGCTTGTGTCTGTGTTGAAGTCAGGGGTAATCAGAACTCACATACCTTAGTCTAGGAAGGAGGGCTCCCCTAGCCCCAGTCACATGATCCCTTCCCATGTAGAGCAGGGGTAAGTATGTACTTGCCTCGTGGGGACTTTGTGGTACAAGAGTGACATATGTCAGGTGTTCGGTGCTGTACCAGGTCACAGGTGGCAAGCTTTGGGCTCCGTGTTCTAGGTCCTACCCCTGACTTTCACTGTGGCCCTTCCCACCTGTCAGCCAGCCGTCTGTCTCCACCTGGATGCCGACACATGAGACACGTGCATGGTTTCCTTCCGCTTGTCCCTGTCCTGCCCTCCCACTCTGTGAGTGTTACCACCGGCCACCCTGTTGCTCAGGCCCAGGTTGAGGATCCGCCTTTGCCTCCTCCCCTCTCCCTTCACTCACACTGTCCTCTTCTGTGGCAAGTCCAGTCAATTCCAGGCAGAAATGACTCTCGCTCCTCGGCCACTGCTCTAGCGGGAGCCTGGTCACCCCTTCCATCTCTTCCTGCCTCCACAGCCTCGCCACACAGCAGGCCAGGGCCCTGCTCTCGGTGTACCTCAGGGCTGCTCCAATGGGGCCATCCAGGGGCTTCCCTTGGAGTCCAGAGCACTGTACCATTCATTACCTCATCCCACAGGACCTCAACTCCCCTCCAGCCTCGTCTCCACTGTCTCCTTGCTACTTCTCTGTCCAGCCCCAGCAGGCCCCGTTTCTCCTGCCCCAGGGCTGTGCACATCAGGGTTCCTTCACCTGAAATGCTCTCTTCTCAGAGGAGCCTCCCATGACCCTCTGTCACAGCTCACAGTTTTATTTCCTTTGTCTCCTTCCCCCTATCTCTCCTTCCCATTTCCGTGTACCCTGGCTAAGTGTGCTCTTGCAGTGGGTCGTGTGTGTGTGTGTGTGTGTGTGTGTGTGTGTGTGTGTGTGTGTGTGTGTGTGTTTGGTTCTGTCCAGTGGTCGGATACACATCTAAGCAGCTCACAGTAGGAGGTGGCTGTCAGAGTCAACACCCAGTCCTTTCTCAGCCATCCTCCCTCCTCTCGCCCTGGCTAGGTTACCCCCTCTCTCTCCCCCCACCCTCGCCCGGCCAGTGCCCAGGGAAGGAGGGCAGGCAGGGAGGCTAGCCAAGCTCAACAGATGTTTCTGCCTAGCCCTGAGACTAGAACCTTCCCAAGACAATTCCTGAACAGGCCCAGTGGGATGATCCCTTCTCTAGAGTCGTTCTTGATGGAGGGAGGCTGCCCCAACGTCCCCTTTCCTGTCTCATGTCGAGGTTTGCAGTGACCCTCCTTGTCATGGGTTCTCTGGATGAAGGATAAGGATGCCAGGACAAGTGATGGGTAGTGTCTTACCGCCTCGGGGACCCTTCTGACAGCCCCCATGTCTCTCAGGCCGAGCCAGTTTCTATGAGGAGTACGGTGTCATCCGTGACACACTGCAGAACCACCTGACGGAGATCCTCACGCTGGTGGCCATGGAACTGCCCCAGAACATCAGCAGCTCAGCCGCCGTGCTACAGCATAAGCTCCAGACCTTCCAGGCCCTGCGGGGGCTGCAGAAGACCAGTGCCATCCTGGGCCAGTACCAGGCCTATAGTGGGCAGGTGCGTCAAGAGCTGCAGAAGCCAGACGGTTTCCAGAGCCTGACACCAACCTTTGCAGGTAGGCACCAGAGCCGGCAGCTGTGGGGCCACCGGCAGCTGGAAGCAGCTGTTCCAGCCAGTGCCCTTTGGAGCGTGGTAGCTTGGACTCCAAAGAATCTTTACAAGAGGGCGCAGTACATTGTGATCACCACCCCCTAGGCCTTCTGCCCTTTTAAAGCTGCAGGTCACCTACAGCAGCCTCCATTCAGTTCCAGAAAGGTCTCCTGAGGGCATGCCTGTGGGATTGAGATAGGTGCCACCTTCGTGGGCTGTGTATATGACTTCCATAATATGGCAAACCTCAGTCCAGCCACAGCCAAGGAATGTCCCTGTGGACAGACACCACATTGGCCAGCAGATAGTTGCTAGATCCACCTGGAAAGTTCCAGAAGCCTTTGGGGAGAGCAGCTGGATCCTAGCAGGTAGAGCCCATGACTGTGAGACAGCCCTGCATATAAAGGCCGTCTGATGTGCTGGGCAGCGTATGTACCTCCTCTCAGTCCGTCCTCACACACCCACAGGCAGTTGCAGTTATTGTCCTCGGTGAGGAGACAAGGCGAAAAGGCAGCATCTCAGCTAGGCTTGAACTGGTGTGTAGTATGTCAGCGCCTGCGTCTGTGACTGGGGCTCGCACACACATGCACACATTCCTCCTACTCCATAGACTCCTACCCCCACCCACCTGGCTTCCACTCATGCTTGACTTTGTTTTGGCATTCTGGGGACTTCACACAAAGAGACGCTGCCTCGAGACACTGCCCTTATCCCTCAGGATCCAACATGCCTCCTACCCCTTTTGCCCCACGAGATCCTTCCACGGCAGACTCCAAACCCAGTTAGACCAGGTCTCTCAGAGGGACCTCAGAGTGCTGCTGTTATGGCCATAGCATTCACCTTGCTCGCTGTTTCCACCCCTGCCTGGGAAGGAGAAACAGAAGGCACAGTGAGACGGGCTGAGCGGGGCCCGGGGTGCAGGGTGGCTGCAGAGCCAGCCGGCAGGCTGCGGTGTCGCTGTCTGTTCTTTCTCCACCTTAGGTGTCCTTGTCCACGTCGACAACCTGCGCTGGGAGGGCGTCCCTTTCCTCTTGATGTCTGGCAAGGCCTTGGACGAAAGAGTGGGCTACGTTCGGATCTTGTTTAAGAACCGGGCATACTGCACCCAGAGCGAGAGGCACTGGGCGTCCGCGCAGAGCCGGTGCCTGCCCCAGCAGATTATCTTCTACATTGGACATGGCGAGCTGGGCCACCCCACCATCCTGGTCAGCCAGAACCTGTTCAAGCCCTACGTCCCCACCCAGAGCTGGACGGAGGTGCAGGGCCAGCCTGGGCTCCGCCTTTTTGGTCGTCCTCTGTCTGATTACTATGCCTATAAACCTGTGCGGGAGCAAGATGCCTACTCCACCCTCTTGTCTCACATCTTCCACTGCCGAAAGGAGTCCTTCATCACCACAGAGAACCTGTTGGCCTCCTGGGTCTTCTGGACCCCCTTACTGGACAGTCTGGCCCTCGAAGTTCCACGCCTTTACCCCGGGGGAGCAGAGAATGGCCATCTGCTGGATTTTGAGTTCAGTGGTGGTCAGCTGTCCTTCTCCCAGCAGCAGCTAGAGGTGTTGATGCCAGAGCTGGGGTCAGTCCCAAAGCCCAGTGACTTCCAGGTCCTCAGGGCCCAGTACAGAGAGAGCCCACTGATCACTGCCTGGCCGGAGGAGCTGATCTCTAAGCTAGCCGGTGACATTGAAGCCACCGCAGTGCAGTCCGTACGACGCTTTGGCAAGTTCCACCTGGCACTGTCAGGGGGTTCCAGCCCCATAGCCCTCTTCCAGCAGCTGGCCACAGGGCATTACAGCTTCCCCTGGGCCCACACACACCTTTGGCTGGTTGATGAGCGCTGCGTCCCTCTCTCAGACCCAGAGTCCAACTTCCAGGGCCTGCAGGCTCATCTGCTGCAGCACGTTAGGGTACCCTACTACAACATTCACCCCATGCCGGTGCACCTGCACCAGCGGCTTTGTGCTGAAGAGGACCAGGGGGCCCAGACCTATGCCAGCGACATCTCAGCCCTGGTGGCCAACAGCAGCTTTGACCTGGTGCTGCTGGGCATGGGCACTGATGGGCACACAGCCTCCCTGTTCCCACAGTCACCCACGGGCCTGGATGGAGATCAGCTGGTGGTGCTGACGGAGAGCCCTTTCAGGCCATACCAGCGCATGAGCCTCAGCCTGCCCCTCATCAACCGTGCCAAGAAGGTAGCTGTCCTGGTCATGGGGAGGACAAAGCGTGAGATCACCATGCTGGTGAGCCGGGTGGGCCATGAGCCCAAGAAGTGGCCCATCTCCGGCGTGCTGCCTCTTTCTGGACAGCTGGTTTGGTACATGGATTACGAGGCCTTTCTGGGATGACAGGCGCACCCTGGTCTCAGTCACTATCGAACTTTCTGTCACCCACTCAATGTGCCCCAGCTGTCCTGAGCCTGGTACCAGAGTCAGGCCCCAGAGAAGGGTGGACGAAGTTCTGCCGTGCTTCCTGGGCCCACTGGTTCTGTGTAATTATGGTGCCTGGACACAAAAACAAGGCAGAACTCGGACCTCTGCTTTGGAGATGCCTCGAAACCCAGACAGGAGGGAAACTCTGAGGCCTCTCTCAGTTACTCGTCAGTGTCTGCAACGCAGAATAAGACAGGGAGAGGCTGCACGTTAAAGAACCAGTGTGGTGTGTGCAGACTGGCCGGTGGTCCTGGGACTGGTTTCTGTAGGAAGAGGGGCCGGAGTTGGTGGAGAGAAAGATGCAGACTCCTGGTGAGTGGGCCAGGCAAGAAGAGTAGACACAATCCTGGGATTGCACTGGGCAGCCTGCCTCTTCTGGAATCCCGTCATCCCTCTGTGCATCTAGCTGACGTCTGGTCCTTCCTCAGGCAGCTTCTACTTCCTCAGTGCCTGACAGCCCTGTTCTCTGCATTCCCATTGCCCTCAGCCTCTCCCTATATACAAAGAAGAGACAGATACAGACACTGCCATGTCAACCCTGCTCCCCCATCTAAAGACCTGGGCTCCCCTTTCCCCACTGAGATCTGTTCTGCCCTCACGGGGCCACAGGTGTCTCTGATCTATTAGATAGGGTGCTCTGTCTGCTCCTGGGGAGATGACTACAGCTCACAGCCTCTTCCTGGAGTGTATGTGGCCAATTCCCAGCACTAGGGGACAGGCTGCAGCTAGCCCTCATCACACTACCTCTCTAGGGGCCCCAATCCTGGCAGCTGACTCTGCGGGTGTCTCCACCTCTCTTCACCACTAACCTGGTACCACTGGAACCAGGACAGACTGCTCCTAACTGCAGCCTCCTCCAGGGCCTCTGCATTTTTATTTTTTAAAAGCAAGCCAACAGCATAAAGCAAACTTCTCAGGGCACGTGAAGCTTTTGTTTTGTCCTCCTGCTTAGTCACATGGACAAGGCAGGGCATAGAAGGGTTACCATGGCCCCTGCCTCCCAGTCACGCTCTGTCGGTCACACAGAGTCTCAGTCTTTCGGAATTTTCCCAGAGAGGGGCTTTCATTTGGTGAGGAGCATCAGGAAAGCTGTTTCTCTACTTTTGACTGTACTTTCTCCCAGGCAGTGCATGCAAGGACCCTTGCTTTCACTAGAGATGTGTGCACAGTGTAGCCTGAGCTGGGACTCTGTATGAAAGGCACTCTTGTTAAAATTCTGCTTCCTCTGGCCTCCAGTGACCCAGACTGACAGAACACCTCTATTGCAAGAGAGCTACCCTGGGCAGAAAGGACGTGTAATGCCCTGGGGCCCTTTTCTGGCTGGTGCTCACTTTTGTGGCTGGCATCACAGGTAGTTGCAGTGAGGTTCCACCTTTGGCCATGTGGGGGAGCTCACGTGCCACCACTCACATTCCATCCAGGAGGCAAGTTTAGTGCCAAACATCATCTCTTTGTTTTATGCTCTGCCTCTCTGGCTTCTTAGCGTTCTCATCTGTTCTTTAAGGACTCAGTCCTCTGAAGTTTCAAAATCAGAGAGAAAGGGGCCTTGCATGCCCCGGGAGAGAGGGTGAACAAGCTTTGTGTCACCATGCTGAATAACAGTGAGTCACTGCCCAGCCTGAGCTTAGAATGTCCTGTTCTTACCCAGAAGAATGACTCGCCTCTATCTGTGGGGAGTTGCACAGGGGAGGCCAGTGTGGGGAAATACCAAAGATTTCCTTTCCGGAAGCAAGCACTAATAAAACCGCGTTGGAAAGGTTGGCGGGAGACATTGTCAGAGTTCTTGGCATGCACCTGTGCGTGCCCTTTCCCCTTCTGCCCCAGGGTTAGGAAGGAGTGATGCTCAGAGTCAGGACCACCGAGGCTGATGCTCTTCAGACCCTGTGGTTCATCATCCACGGCAAGCAGTCACATAATCGGTGTCTTGAGTCTCAGGAAGGAGTTTTCAGCCTTAGAACCTGGGATACCCTCAATTTTCTATTTTTCATTAAAAAAAAATGTTGCTTGCAAATCACTTATGCTGCGTCGTGCGTTGATAACAGTGTGAAGAACACACCTTTGTCAGCTTGCTGCCTGTCAGCAAGTGGGGATCTGAGGCTGGGAAGAGTGGATGGGTGTCCAGGTCCCTGGGGAGAGGGGGATGGATGGTCACTTGTGTCTGGGACACAGCCTTCCCTCCCTGAAGTCCACTTCCATGCATGCTTCCCCAGTGAAGTGAGGTCCCCGCAGCTGTGGGGACCTCTGACCTTGCAAGCATTCACCCTGTGCTGGCTCAGAGCCCCGGTGGATGCTGCTGACTGCATCCCCATCCCTCCCTTAGGGAGGGGAAGGGAGGGAGGGGGGAGGAAACAGTGGAAGCAGAGGCCTGCCCCTTGCTCAGGTGGCTCTTGTGTGTCCTGTGCTGACTATAGCACACCTTGTCCTGCTGACAGGCCAGTTTGCTGCCGGTGGGACCTCAGTGACTGATGATTTGAAACTGGAGTCCAGTGGCAGCCAGAAACTCTGTTAGGTTCTAGAGCCCATTCCCAGCACCCACAAGGGCCTCACGTGGCCGTCAGGTTCCCTGAATGGGCCCGTGATTCCTCCGTGGGAAGAATGTAGGGCATGTGAATGGCAGAAGGAGCCCTTGGGGTGACATGCCAGTTAACATCTCCAGCACAAACATTGCAGCTGGGTGTCACAAGCTAGATCTGACTTCCAGTCCTGGGCAAGTGTTCTTGCTAATTAATTGTGCGCTAAATGGTCCCATCTTCTTAATTTCTGCTTCTTTTTCTTATGATTAATTTTTTTAGTTTTATGTGCATTGGTGTTTTGCCTGCATATGTGTCTATGTGAGGGAGTCAGATCCCCAGAGCTGGAGTTACAGACAGTTGTGAGCTGCCATGTGGGTGTTGGGAATTGAACCCGGTCCTCTGGAAGAGCTGATAGTGCTCTTAACCACGGAGCCATCTCTCCAGCCCATATTCCCTGCTTCTTATTGCCCTACAGAAATACTCTCTTTTCACTGTCGTTCAGTTGGTTGCACATATGTCTTTTGCTTGCCTCATGCTGCAGCCCACGTGGGCTCTAGACACAAGGCTGCCCTGCCTCCAGCCCTTCCCGCTCCACAGCAGAACTGACCCTCTAGGTATCTAGGGAGTCCTTGCAAGAGTGTGGCCTCTGGGAAGGGGAGCAGGGCTCAAACCAGAATGTGTTCCTGGAAGATGCAAGGGGCAGATGTCTTCCAGGAACACCAAATCCTGTCTTCTGCAGGCTAGTGGCACCTTCTGCAGGTTCTTCACACCTAGAGATGGGTGTGAGGAACCCCGAGAATCCTTCACCTCCTAGCTGAGGATGGTGTCAATTCATCACTGCTGTCACCAGCACAAGACATCCTAGCAAGTGATCTGAGGATGCATCACTGTGATCTAGCAAGCCATGGGGACGGAGATGGCTTGGATGTATTGTCCCTCCAGCCATCCCACATTGGGAGTATATTTATTTGCATCCAAGGGGATGTCCATGTCTGTGTGTGACCATGGACAGGGGTCTCAAATTAATGACACTCTGTTCATTCTTTGACCTCCAAGGGTGAGCTTTGTTAAGGCTCCGTGTTGCTTCAGTGGCTGGTGTTTTCAAGGAAGTCCGTGTGTCTTTTCTGTCCCTTTCTGTCGAGTGGCAAATAATCTGCATTTGCCAAGCACTGTTGAGTTCATGAACAGCTGGGAGTTGGCACTGAGAGTACAGGTGTACACCGAGTGTGTGTGTGTGTTTGTGTGTGTGTGTGTGTGTGGTCTCTGGCTGTGCCTCACAGAGGGCTGGTTATGATGCATTATGCTCAACTGATAGAGCACTTGCCTAACATGCAAAAAGCCCTAGGTTCCATTCCCACTGCCAAATAAACTGGGCGTGATGCTATACACCTGTAATCCTAGGAGGTGGAGGCGGGAGGACCGGGAATTCAAGGCTATCCTTGGCTACATAGCAAGGTCAAACAAGCCTGGATAGATGAGATCCTGTTTCAAAAAAAGCCTTGTGAATGAAAAAGGTAAGGACTAGGTTAGCTGGGAGTGAGAACACCCAAGTTGTTTCCCTCAGTGTCTCTGGGGGGTCTGGTCCAGTTGACTCTTCCTGTGTCTGTCCACGTGGGAGAGCCGGGTGAGTGGACTCCAGCAGTTACCAGGGCCGCTCCTGCCCACCCGTGCCTGCATGAGGAGCCTGAGTCCCCAGAGACCGTTGGACTTCTGAGTCACCCTGACAAACACCGAAGGAGGAAGGATTTATTTTGACTCATGGGTCATTTTAGCCCAAGGTCACTTGACTGTGCTGTTTGTGGGCCAGAACGGAGGCAGAATGTCATGGTGTGAGCATGGTGACCCAGAAGTGGGATAAAAGAGGCAGGGAAGGGGCAAAAGACAAGCATGTCCTCCACAAGCACACTCATGGGGATTTGCTTTCTCCAGCGAAGGCTGACCTCCTGTCACCTCTGAGAATGCTCTCATATTATAAAGTCAGCAGGGGATTAATGCATCCGTGACATCAGCGTCTTCAGGACAGTTCTCCCAAGACCACCAGCTGCAGCCCAGCTCCCCATGCATGAGTCTGCAGACAAATTCCACACAAGGTGTCACAGAAGGTCGCTACCATGCTGAGCGCCTGGGGCGGGGTTGTGCTCTTACTCTCTGCTGGATAGAAGGGAACTGGGGGTCTGGGCCTTTGTCAGGTCAGAATGGCAGTGGGCAGTGGCATAGGTGGGAATGTCCAGGAGCAAGAATGTGGGTTTTCCCCCCCCATGAGGGAAACTCCCCCAATCTTAGGGAGACTGGCACCTGCCTCAGAGAATGAGAGACATTCAGAATAAGTGCCTTTTAAAACTTTCTGAGACTCTTTATGTTTTCCTGTATATCAAATGTAACATTGGTTTTTTTTTTAAACAATAAACTTGTTTATTTGCCAAAATTCAAGTTTCTTCCTTTGGGGGATGGAGTAAAGTGGGTTGTGAGCCTGGCTAATGTGACAGAGGAGGGGACGTGGAACAGAGTTAGTGCTTGTCAACCTGACACAGGCTAGAGTCACCTGGGAAGAGATAGACCCTCTTTTGGTTCCCTAGGGAACCTCCACACACAGAGAGAGAGAGAGATGCGCGCACACACACATGCATGTATGCATACACAGACACACAATGCACACACATACACATACTCATATACATTTTTTTTTTCTGAGAGGTTTTCTCTGTGTAGCCCTGGCTGTCCTGGAACTCACTCTGTAGACCAGGCTGGCCTTGAACTCAGAGATCCTCCTGAGTGCTGGGATTAAAGGCATGCACCACCACTGCCTGGCCATAAATAAATTTTTAAAAATTTTTATTCTTTTGGAATGCAAAATGCTACTCAGAACACAACTGAATTTATATATCCACCATGAAAAACAACTGTGACAGAGCTGAAACTAAAAAGAAAAAAAAAAAAAAGAATGATTCTCGCTCATGACTCATGTGTCCTTTGGCCTTTATTTCATCCTTCCTTATCACCTATTATTATTCTCTCAATCTCCTTTTTAAATTTTAGACTATATTTACTGACCCCTGTTACATATGCACACAAATACATTATAGGTTATTGTAAACAGAGGCTTTTCTCTGTCCTGCCCACAGCTGCTTCCAAATAATCACTCAGAGGCTTGTATTAATTATAAATGCTCAGCCAGTAGCTCAGGCTTATTACTGACCAGCTATTACACTTAAATTAACCCATAATTCTTATCTATGTTTAGCCACATGGCTTAGTACCTTTTCTCTGTGTGACATTCTCATCTTGCTTTCTCTGCATCTGGCTGGAGACTCTCTGACTCCGCCTTCTTCTTCCCCTCCTTAGTTTGTTTTTTCTACCTAACCTTATTCTGCCTGGCTATTGACTGAAGAGCTTGTTTATTAAACCAATCACAGTGACAAATCTTCACAGTGTACAGAAGGATCAACCCACAGCAGGCTATGATTGAAATATGACAGAGAACATGTGTTTTGGGTTGGATCACCTTGTATAATATTATACTCTCCAGGTCTATCCATTTTCCTGAAAACGTCTCACAATTTCATTTTTTTAACTGCTGAGAAGTATTCCAGTATGTAAATATACCACATTGGCATTACCCTGCCATCTGTTGATGGACATCTGTTTTGATTCTATTTCCTTGCTCTATGAATAGTACAACAATAAACATGAATGTGCAAATATTTTTGTGATGGAGTATCAAGATCTTTGACAAATGCCCAGGAGTGCAATGGCTGGGTCATAGGGTAGTTCTACAGTTAATTTTTTGAGGAACCTCCAAACTGATTTCCATAATGGCTGCATTAATTTGCACTCCAGCAGTGAACAAAGGTTCCCTTTCCCTACAACCTCCCCAAAATTTGTTGTCAGACTATTTTTAAATGCTATTTTTATTCATTCTTTGTGAATTCCACACACTGTGTTTTGATGGAATTCACCCTTCCATCTAACTTCTCCTGAATCCATTTCTGCTTTTCCACCCCTCTCAACTTTGTATCTTTTTTTAAATTTTTTTTTTTTTTTTTTTTTTTTGGTTTTTCGAGACAGGGTTTCTCTGTGTAGCTTTGCGCCTGTCCTGGAACTCACTCTGTAGACCAGGCTGGCCTCGAACTCACAGAGATCCGCCTGGCTCTGCCTCCCGAGTGCTGGGATTAAAGGCGTGCGCCACCACTGCCCGGCTTAAAATTATTTTTAAATTTTATGTGTATTAGTGTTTTGCCTGCATGTATTTCTGTGTACCACAAGTGTGCAATAACCAAGGAGGACAGAAGAGGGCGTCTGATCTGTGTCAGGAGTTATAAACAGTTGTGAGCTGCCATGTGAGTGCTGAGAGTTGGAACCCTGTCCTCTGGAAAAGTGGCCAGTGCTTTTAACTGCTGAGACATCTCTCCAGCCCTTGTATCCTCAAAAAAAAAAAAAAAAAAACACTTGGTCCAATTTGTGCTGCCCCAGTACTCATGGGTGGGGTCATCCACCGGGCCATGGTCAACCTACTAGGTGCCACACCCTTAAAACTGACTCTCCCTCCCCCAGAAGCCATCAACTGTCAACAGTGGGAGTGTATACTAGCCAGTTTTATGTCAACTTGACACCAGCTAGAGTCATCAGAGAGGAGGGAGCATCGATTGAGAAAAACGCCTCCATATAATTGGGTTGTAGGCGAGCCTGTAGGGCACTTCTCAGAGATTGACAGGGCAGGGCCCAGCCCATGTGGGTGGAGTCAACCTTGGACTGGTGGTCCTGGGTTCAATAAGAAAGTAGGCAGAGCGAGCCATAAGGAGCAAGCCAGTAAGCAGCACCCCTTCATGGCCTCTGCATCAGCTCCTGCCTCCAGGTTCCTGCCCTGCTTGAGTTCCTGTCCTGACTTCCCAGTGATGAACAGGGATCTGGAAGTGTAAGCCAGATAAACCCTCTCCTCCCCAGTGTGCTTTTGGTGACGGTGTTCACCACACACCAGTGGCAACCCTAACTTAGCGCTGTCAGTTTTCTTGGCTGTAGCCATTTTGAGTGGGATGAGGTGGCGTCTTAGAGTAATTTTAATTTGCGTTTTTCCAGTGACTAGGGATGGTGAAGACTTTAAAAATAGTTCTTGTCTGTGTGTGTGTGTTTCTTCTTTTTCCAGCTCTGTTCAGTTCATTAGCCCGTCTGTTGATTTGCCGTTTTTTTTTTTCCTTGATGTTTCATTTCTGCAGTCCTTTGTAAATTCTAGACAGTAGCCCTTGTCTGAGGCACAGCTGACAAGACTTCCTCCCTCTGTGGCCTGCGTGTTTGCTCTGCTGATGGTTTCTTTTGCTGTGCAGAAACTTATTTTCACGTGGTCCTGTGAGTGGCTGTTAAGGCTGGCTCCTGTGCTGTTCCCGTTCTCTTCAGGCAGCCCTTGCTCACCCCGGTGCCTGGAGGAGTGGTGCCTATGTTTCCTTCTAGCACCTCCAGCATTTCACCGTTTAAATTAAGGTCTTTGATCACCTCAAGCTGATTTTTACGCAGAGTAAAAGACATGAATCTAATTTCATTTTTCTGTAGGTGGAAACCCAGCTTTACCAGCACTGTCTCCTGACTAGATCTCCCTCCCCACCACCCTGCATGCTTTTGTCTTGTCAAAAATTAGGCTCCCATAGCATTGTGGCTTTATTTTGGTGTCTTCTATTCTGTGTATTCATTGGGGTAAATGTCTGCTTTTATTCCAAATCAAGCTGTCTTTGTCACTATAGCTCTGTAGTATAATTTGAGGTCAAGTATTGTGATATAACTAGCTATGTTTTTACTTCTGAGGATTGCTTTGGCTGTGTGTGTGTGTGTGTGTGTGTGTGTGTGTGTGTGTGTGTGTGTATGTTTTGTGGTTCCACATGAATTCTTAGGTGGTTTTCTGTTGTTGTTGTTGTTGTTTTGTTTTGTTTTGATTTGATTTGTTTTTAATCTAGATCTGTGAATAATGTTGTCAGAGCCAGGCATGGGGGCACACCCCTTTAATCCCAGCACTTGGGAGGCAGAGGCAGGTGGATCTCTGTGAGTTTGAGGTCAGCCTGGTCTACAGAGTGAGTTCCAGGACAGCCAGGGCTACACAGAGAAACCCTGTCTCAAAAACAAAAAAAAAAAAATGTTGTCAGAATTTTAATGAGTATTGCATTGAATATCTGGGGAGGTCTCTGAAACCTCCATGGCCAGCAAAGTGACATTCTGTGGGAGCCAAGAAAGCAGTTTGGTTCAACATGACTGAATAGCCGGTGTTGGTTCAAACTTCAGAAATCTGACCCCAAGTAGTTTCTTTTAAGCATATTGAAGCACAGCATAATTTGGTGAAACTTTTCTGGTGATAATTAACTCAAGTCCATGTATACAACAAAGCAGACGTTAATCTCTTTGAGGAACAAAATAAGCTAAATAAAGATCAGACATGACTGCATCGAAATTCTTTGTAAAGTACATGTGACACCTTCCATAAAGATAGGTTCTATATATGACGGGGAAAAAAAGTAAACCAAGCTCACCATAAGGGTCTGAGGAGGATCCAGTGTGGTCTTGGCCACACAGATAGAGCGAAGGTCACCAGGCTATTTAAAGCACATCCACCCCAGCCTTCTGGGTAACAGGTTATGCATCCATTCCTTTGAAGGAACAACCCTGTGTGGTTAATAGTCCAGGTTCCCCTAGTGCTGAACTGTGAGCACAGGACTTCTGTACCTGCTATAACTATCTAGATTAATTTGGGTAGGAGAACCCTTTTCGTTATATTAATCCTGCCAATCCAGAAACATAGTGTTTCCATTATCTAGGGTCTTCTTCATTGGTTTCCTTTCTCACTTTTTTCTTTTCTTTTCCTTTTTTGCTTTTGTTTTGAGGCAGGGTCTCCTTATGAAGTCCTGGTTGTCCTGGAATTCGCTATGTAGACCAGACTGGCCTTGGGCTCACAGAGATCTGTCTGCTTCTACCTCCTGAGTGCTGGGATTAAAGGCCTGTGCCACCATGCCCAGCTTTGGTTTCCTTTTCCAATGTGTTGAAATTTTCGGGGTGTGTGTGTGTGTGTGTGTGTGTGTGTGTGTGTGTGTGTGTGTCTGTATCTGTGTCTGTGTGTCTCTCTCTCTGTGTGGAGGCATACAAAGTGTGAAGACACCTTATGGAAGTTGGTTCTCTCCTCCTGCCATGTGAGTCCCAAGGATTGAACCTAAGTCATTAGGCAAGTACCCACCGAGTCATCTCCCACCGTTTGATGCTTTCCTTTGGTTTCTGAGGCCAAATGCTTAAATACCCGCTGGTACCTCAAAAATTCCAAGGCTGCCACCGCCACTCTGCTCTTAACCACCTTTGATTTCTTATAAATATTGTGACTTCACGTGCTGTGGTGGAGGGGCGTGACAAAACCCTAAAGTGCATGAGAGAGGGGGGCTGTGGGGGTCTCTTAGATGTAAGTG